GACTGTTTCCCTCCAACACTGCCATCTCACTAACAGGCATCAAACGTGTGCTTAAATATTCACACTACTCTCAAGTAACATAAAACTGAAGGTAAAACTTAAAAAAAAAAAAAACAAGTTCTCCATATAACAGTAGCTTTAGGCTCAACATATGCAGGGTTAATAAAACATACATTGATTGTGATTATACACTATAACATCTGTTACTGGATGTCAGTCTAATCTAATGAGTGCACCAAGGCACATCAGATACAAATAAATGCTCGGTTTTACCTCCTCAGCTCTGCAGGGCAGCTGTAACTGGAGCACCTAAGGGTGACCTCAAGAAAATTGTCCACTCACACATAAAAACAGAACAGGCATATTAAAACATGCTGCAGCTTTTACTGAGTTGTTTAAAGCAAATCTAGTCCTACACAGTGATATAGCAGTTATCTAAAGAAATGTGCTCAGTTAAAGGGCCACTGTCCTCATAAGATGATGCAAATGTTGCTTGTATAACACAGCCTCAGCATCTTCAGTGGGGAAGTGAATCAGCAGCACACACACAGAGAAAATTTGACGCACCAAACCACAACGTGTTGATGAAAAGCCTAGTGCCAAAGAGTATTCCTTTAAGACAGTAATTCAAAGCTTTTCCATATCAACCGATGTCTCTGTTATATCTGGCTGACCTGATACAACTGATCTAACAGCAGTCACTGAATAAATTCACTGGAAGCTGTCAGGCAGTGCTCATGCAAACACTCCGTCTAATTTCACCAATGCAGTTTAAGTAGGCGTAGGCCTGAAGACAGCTGAAATATGAATACGGACCACTAGCACAGCATCCACTCAGGAACCATAAATGGGATCCAAACAGGGAAGCTAAACAAAAACAACCCTCCTCACCACCCACTCCAAGTAACAGTTCTCCAAACACCTCCAGAGGACAGAGGGCAGACCCCGGTGAAGGCTGAGCCCTGGTGGGCTGTTACGTATGAGCAGTCCAAGCCTGGGAGGAGGCCGCTGTGTTTATCCTGTCAGGGAATGTTAACACCACACCGCATTCCTTTAGTCCCAAAATTGCAGTGTTAGATTACAGCCTAGCTGAGAGTGCACACACAAACATGGAGCACTGTAAAGCCAGAGGAAAGGCGCTGGATGACGAAATCGGGACCAAAGCTGTAGCAGCAACACACGGCGGGCCAGCACCTGCCATTTACAGTACAAGTGCAGACACTTAGTATGTGGTGGAGCAGCAAATGAGATCATTAAGGTTGTTGTTAGGTAAAAACAAAAACAACTTCCTGCTTTCTCCTCCGCTCCTTTTTCTGTACATGAATAATCTGAATCATACATAATTATTAAGAATGGAAAGCCCTGTTTTATGTTCTCTGCATGTAACTACTACTCGCTCACATGTACAGTATCATGTGTGGTAAACAGTGCAGTAAGGGAAAAGTGGATTTGGTTCAGGGTCTCTGCAGGGCTATGGCAAAATGACAAGCATCATTTGCTCAGCTGCTATGTTTACAGTTACTCTCTGGTAGGAAATCATTTCTGTAGCGAGGCCAGCTGACTACTAGCTATCATCAGCATCGTGGAGGTTAGGGGTAGCTTACTGCATAGGTGAGAATAATGCCTCTAACCAGAAAGGATGACACAAAGTCTGCTAACAACCTGCTAATGAGTTCTGCTTCACTTAGAGTATAACGGTGCAAGTAAAACCACAAAAGTAAAATGCAAAGCCAACTCTGACACCGTGTTTTAGAGGGCAACATGACATGATGATTGTGCCTTTAATACATGTCATCAAAGTTTCAGAATTGTTGTGAACCATCTTTAATAACCTGTTATATATTACCTTATAATGTTCTCAGACTGTCTTCTATAATAGAGCTAAAATAATTTATCTATCTAGTCATCTTTCAGGCAAATGCTGCTGCATTTCAATGATTTCAGCATCTCCAGTATGAAGGTTTGCTGATTTTCTCTGTTTTGTATCACTGTAAATTGAATATTATCTTCTGCTGTGGCACAGAACAAGCACTTTGGAGATGTCATGCTGGAGTGTGGATACAGCTCACGACTTTATGTTATTTAATAGATGATATGATTAATAATTTATTGAACATATGATAATCAGTTGAACCAATAATGAAAACAATCATTAGTTGTACCACTAATTCATAATAAACAAGATTCACCAGGAAAAGTATGGGAACTATAATGAGCCTTTTTTCACAACTATCTGACATTTTACACACAAAATAAATAATCGATTTGTTGAGAAAATAATTTGTACTAAACTTTGAAATTCAAACAACTGTTAGGAGATCTAGCTCTATGATGATTAAGAGCAGGAATATTAGTCATTATCAGAAAAGACCTTGAAAGGGATGTCATTTAAGAAAAGCCCATCTTTAGTCTGTTTACCCACTTTCTAAGGTTTGTCCACCTTTGGATGACATGTTAGTGAGTTTGACTAAAAAAACACAAAGTCTGCCCTATCAAGTAATGTGAACATATAACCTGTTAAGCACAAATTAAAACTCTGGTGACAGTAGATGACAATATCAACAGCTGCCTTCCTCATCCTGAGGATGACAGGCTGGAGGTCAGCACAGGTTGATGTTTGGCATCAAAAAATTAAAAAAAACAGGCTGTGGACGAGGTGTCTGTGGAAGACAACTCATATAAATGCACGACTGAAGCGAGGCAGACTGCAAATGAAACAAAACGCTTTTCACTTGTAGCAGATGAAATGCCATCTTGACTGTGCGCCCCTCTCAAGGACCAGGATGCGCGTCTTCCTCCTCATAATCTCATTTAATGTTATATTGATGGACATTAAACCTAATAAGAATCCGGGGTATATTGCCCTGGAGTATTTTTGCCTCACATGGCGAGGATATCACGGAGAAATCCGTTAAAATACACCTTCAAAGGTGTTGCATCACCTTGCGTACCTGGCTGTCTCCGGTACAGAAAAAAGCAGCAACCCCGCCTTCACTGCAGTAATGGTACTGACAGCCATTCCCTTCTGCACACCGCTCAGGAAACTGTATAACGAATTACCGCAACACAATAGATGGAAAGGAGAGGCTGGACGTGTACCGTTATAGCACACGGTGAGGTATAACACCGGCATAACCACCTTATGCACCGCCCGTTTTCCTGGGCACAGACAAACGCACACACACAGCTGCAAGGTGCACTCGACCAAACGAGGAAACCAGTCCGCAGAAATACACAAAAGGAAAGATAAAAAAAAATATGCACAAGTGGGTCCGAATTGTATGTGGGTGGGACAAATCCCACGAGAAGGAGGGGAGGCGAGCATCCATGGCAAAAAAAAAATAAAAATTAAATTTAAAAAATCATCTCTACCTGCACAAGTTGACATTTGGAGCGGGTTTCCTGCTCGTCACGATACACAGAACCTTTAGGGAACGGCGGACAGATCCGGTTCCGTTAACGGTCGAGAGCCGCAGGTGTTATTTGTGTTTATTTCTAGGCCGTTTGAAAGCCCCGTTATCCGCGTTCAGGTAAACATGATGATGATGATGGTGATGATGGCTCCTGTACGGACGTCGTGTCGTCAGCAGGAGAAAAAAAAAGGTGTTTTCCTGCCTCTCGGCTCACACACACCATACCTCTCAACGGTAACCAAAATATTATTTGTGGGTTTACCTTTTTATTGGCTGATAGGATGTAAGAGGGGGAGTACAGGTAAGAAACCGTCCAATGAGGGGCTCTGGCTCCAGAGGGCTGTCTAAATTTAAAGTTATTACACCCACCTACGTTTAAATTCTATATTAATATCCTACACTTGATAACAGGTGGATTCAAATATACTCAGCCCACAAACACCTACTCTGACATTCCGTTTCTGACGATATCATGGAGACAAGCTTCCTCTAGGTGATGTTAGAGGATTATTACAACCATATCACAGCTTACGGTAAAAATAATGTCGCCACTGACAACTAAAGACATACAGCAAGTCCATATTTGGTGATAACGCAGCTTCAACCTAGGCTTAGAAACCATCAATCCAATAATAATGCCTCAAATTGAGTCAAAACATTTGGATTCAACCTTGCTAACAGTTCACAAAGCCGATTTCACAGGTGCAAAAAGTAACAGTCGACGATAGGAGCCATTTGCAGGTCGAGCAAAACAACGAAACCCACGCCGAGTAACAAAAATTGCTGAATTAATAAAGCCAAGCTGGTGTAGGCGATGAGGAAATACATGCACGCATGAAAATAAATTTACTAAATCTACTTTTTAAGAATCAACTTCATCATTTCCACTCTTACCTCAACTAAGAGAACATGTGGTGTTGCAGTTGCAGCAGGGAGGGGTGAAGTGGAGATCAAATAAACATCCCATCTCTTTGCCATCACTGGAGCCGCAGTGAATCCGACCAATATGCAAACAAAATCCCCAGGCGTTCACCGCAACAGCACGATCTACCACCCGGCCACCAAAACAAACCGCTAAGGTCGAGTTATTCTGAAGGGGAGCGACAAAATGAGTCGTCCGGGGCCGAGCGAGCAGCAAGTTAGCATGAAACTCAGCCCGCAACAACCTCGCCCTAAAAATTTCATACAATGAACAAACTGCGCTCAACGGGCCACGTTGTTATGTGAAAGCCCCGTAACCTGCCGCCAAGTGTTGCTGTGGGTGGGAAACTGGCAGAAAAGTACAGAAACAAAGAAGGGAAAAGTGAAGGAAACTTAAAAAAATACAGGCAAGTATGAAGCGCTCCTCGGTTATTATAACAGACGTATAACGGTCCGCTCGGGCAGGCGGCCCCATGCACCGCCAGGCGGAGGGAGAGACGCCAGCCAGGTATAACGGTACACCAAGACACTGGGATATGAGCACACTCCCCCAAAACTCCCCGAACTCACTCCCAAAAAGTCTCCTGGAGGAGTTCACCGAGTGAAAAGCTCACCGGCAGCCCGCCCGAGTCGCTCAACGGCGGTTAGGAGGGAGTCTGGACTTACCGCTGCTCCTCCTCGGGTTCGCCTGTTTTCTACGCTTACACCTGGGGCCATCCGCCATGATCCTCTCGCTGAGTCTGAAACGCAGTCTCTCGCGAGTCACCTCCTCCTCACCCCTCCTCACCCCTCCCTTCCCCTGTCCGCTTTACGACATCACCTTCCCCCCGCATAAAAAACACCTGGTTTGCGACACACTGACCGCTTTTACGGTATCACCTTCTCGAACACCTCAGCACATGGCCCCTCCTACTGGCCGCACATGGGCGTGTGCGCTCTGACAGCAGGTTCCAAATGGTGGTCCGACAGCTCTGTCAGGGTCCACCCGGGCCTCACACAGTGTCTGCTTCTCCTGACTGCTGAAAAAGGTAAAATGTAACAACAAGGCGATTCTCTACAGGTCAAAATGTAGAAATGAGGCCAGAGAGAGGAATTAAGAAGGATCTGTGTGAGTCAAAGGTGGGGGTGGAGGAGGAAGTCAGTGGTGGAAGTACTCAGATCCTTTACTGAAGTAATACCACAGTATAGAAACACTTGTAAAAGTCCTGCATTATAAACTTTGCTTAAATACAAAATTATTAGCATCAAAATAATTCTTGAAATATCAAAATACTCATTATGCGGAATGGCCCTTTTCACATTAATGTATATCATATTGTTGTTTTCTAACTATTGATGAATTGTTGTGCACATCACTTAAATGTTGCAGTTATTAAAAGTAGAGTTTATGTTAATCCTTACATGCGTATAATTTGAAGTACTTCTGGGTAGCAGTACTGTGAATTTCCCACAAGGGATCAATAAAGTCTGATGATTTTATTTTATTAATCTGATTCCGAAAAGTAACTAAACTTATCAGATAACTCTAGTGGAGTAAAACGTACAATACTTAGCACTAAAATGTAGTGAAGTTGAAGTATGAAGTAGAAAAAAAATGAAAATGCTCAAGTAAAAAAAGAAAAGGTTCTGCTCCATATTTGTTGTCATTCTTTAGACTTTTTTCCTCAGTGTGTGTGAAAAAGTTGAATAATTTTACTAATTTGGGCCTGGTGTAGTTATCTAAGTGAAACTCCCTGAAACGCTTAGAAGGCAAAATCCCTCCTATTGACATCTGAATCACTGGTTTAATCTTTAACAATACATTGCATTTTGTAAGATTATTCTATCTGGTCTTAATCTGATAAGTTTCTAGTAACTATCTCTGTCAGATAAATGAAGTAGAGTAAAAAAGGAGGCTACAATATTTCCCTCTGAAATATGAAGGAGTACAAATACAGTATAAAGCAGCATAAAATGTGGTGTTGAAGTATAGAGTAGCCTAAAACTGAGTTATTCAAGTAACAAAGTACCTCAGAGCTGTACTTGGATACAGTACTTGAGTAAGTGTACTTAGCTACTTTGCACCACAATTCAATCAGGTAAATGTGCTTACGAAAATAATTAACAAATTGTCCTTTTAAGGGTTTTCGCCCAAAAAGCTCTAGTATTTGTCTAAGACAACATGGATTTCTGAGAACATAAATCCAACATTGTGAGGACTTCTGAGCTCCCCAGTTGTGAATTGTCTCCCTCCAGTCAGACTCCAGTTAGATAAAGTAGAGTGAGAGAAGAAGGTCCTGGGTTTTCTCTGCAACCAGATACATCACCTCTTGGTGCTCTCCCAGTTAGCAGAGCCAACATAATCCAACTTAGAGTGATGTAGTCCAGCATTTTTTTCACATGATTGAAGACGCTGGATGTCGTTCTTCTTGCGTCTCACTTATTTGAACTTAAACACACTTCTCTCCCAGCTATCATGGAAAGAAAAGTCTCCTTTTACCGCCATGTGTGAGTCATATAGTAGTTCACCATGTTTTCTGCTACATCTGCTCAATAAGAAATGCAGTAGTGGCCTGTTCTCTGTGCACAGTGCTGTATCACTAGGTGCTGATGATTTATTGATGTTAAAATGCAGCATGTCAGATCTTTGAAGGAAAGTAAGAGCTTCTGTGAGTTTAGAAAACCTGAATCCAGAAACGCATAGTCACACTTATAAAGCACAGTTGTGTCCTAGGCAGGGAAAGAAAGTCAGTGACAGTGCACAGCAAGGCAGAGGAGCGGCCTTCACCACCCAGTCGAGCTATTCTTGTACCTGACGACGATCAGGTTTCCAGTTCAGACACACCAGGTGCTGCGTGAGTCTCTTGCAGCCAACAAGCCTCCTCTGGATATCCTGACTCTGTGTTTGAGGACATGGGGGTGAAATTAGACTGCAGAGGCTTAACGGGGGGACAGAATGCTTGAGATTACATGCAGTGTTCCAAGGTGCTTCCTTGTTTGTCTGCTGCATTCAGCTGCCTGACACAGTGGTAACAACATGAGATAGCTTGGATTGAATTGTGCGGGTTTTATACAGGAGCAAAAATGCTTTGTGATTTATGCAGTTTAGGAGTTTAAAGACTTAACCTTACAGTTCTTCCACTTTAAAATTAAAAGAAAGATTTACACTGTACAACAAGGTCACATCTGTGTAATCAGCAGCATGCTTGTACTGCATTTAATACTTAAACCCAAGAGAATATCTTGTTTATGAGAGCACTGTTAGATGTACAATTTGCAAATACCCGAGGGTAATGTCTAACATATTGTAATTCAATATGAAACATTTGAAAAGTTTGCAATTCTATCAGAATACCTGACATGACTTCATATTAATGACTCAGTGGAATAGGTCTAGTTTAAGGGGCACATTCAGAGTCATGCATTCAGAGTGAGGCTGCAGTCAGACGGGCCTGTGCCCAGTAGTCCCGTTCGTTTGTGCATCTAGGTAAAGATTTAGAAATTGTGCACGATAAGAGCTATTAAGTGCAGCGCTATTTTGAACATGGTTGGACAGTTGTGTTCGTTACTGTATTCAGATGTGCTCTTTCCTCAGCACCTACACACATATCATTTTGGTAGAAAAGGTGATGTCCTCCTCAGTTTTAACTAACCCCCCAAACCACAACCGAGCTCCTTGCACCACACCAGTAAGGTTTAACTGAACCCCCCACTGGCAGGATATGAAGTGCCACTGACTGGGGGGCTGTGCTCTGCTGCATCACAGCATCTCACAGGCGACTGCTGTCCCACTGCCTGTGAAGTGAAAAAGGAAATGGATGCCATTATTCAATGTTAATTTGGTATTGACATACATTTTGGGCTCAAAGAGCTTTTGGCTAAATTCATTTGTATTTTCAATGAAGAATTCTTCTCAGTGAGAACCACACAATACTCAGAGTATCGTTACCGGAAGAGGAGCTGTACCCTCGGGCTAAATGCCATGTTGTTCCTTCCTCACTAGTTTCCTTTGTCATGCATCAGGTAGGGGTTCGATCTTTAAGACTGAAGCTGAATTTAACCCCTAAACCTGTTAATGTTAGTTCTTTGTTCTAAACATTGATTCATTCATTTCTGCAGTGAAGTGTATAGTATAAACCAAAACGAGTGCTTTTTTTATTTTGCCAGTCTTCTGAAACCTTCACATATGATCATTACAAAAATGATTAATAAAGCAGTTTTCTGATCCGCCACTGCTTGTTTTAGGCACAAAAACTGTCTGGCTATGTTTATGTTTCTATCTTAGCCTCATTGATAGAAATTGGGTAGACTAAATAATAGAAACACCTCTCTGTACAATACTTCATAAATGACATCTTCCAAATTAATCATACACTTGAATCAACATCTGCCTAAAACAGTTTGAACAAAACTGAACAGCATCATCTTGATGATGGAGGATTTACTGCAGGACTGTAGAGTGCATTAGTTGTAGCTTGATGCATCAGATAAATTAGCAACCAAGTGCACACTTAAGGTAAATAGGTGAATAAGGACAATAAAAGAGATGAGAGAGTTGAGAAGCACTTTTCAAATACTAATACATGCTAATGTTAAATGCTGATATAAACAAAACTAGTGTTAAAACTGTAATAAATCCCAATGGCCTTGATGCCCTAACTGCAAGGTTGTTGTTTTTTTTAATCTACTCTAATGTGATACTTGTTCTCATTTTGTGTGATGGTCTAACAGACCCAGAGGCCTTTGAAGCTGAGCTATTCTTTCAGGCTAAATGTCTGTCAGATCCCTTCTCCGTGTTTTGTTTTAATGTGTGTCAGGTGGTACGTAGGTTAGTGTGAAGCTTCTGAGTGAAAAGTGATGACAAAGAACCTGAGCTACACTCCGTCTCTGGTATGTACATCAGCTCAAACCTTTAACATTTTGTCTAATCAGTTAACTTCAGCTCTACAGTTCTCTAGTTTAGTGCCATATTGGGGCTTGGTGGCCAAAAGATGAATAATGTAATTTTGTGTCAAGATGAGTAATGCAGGTAAAATCACTTGTCTGTACAGGACAAATGGCTAGGGAGATGATAATGGCAAGTCCTCATGTTGGGTTTATAAGGCAGGAGGAAAGAGGGAGACAATTCATCTTCACTGTCACTCTCTCCATTAATGATATGCTGTAAAGGCTGTGTAGCTGCATGACATTATGAATCAAAGAAGGGTGTGGACCTGGAGAGAAGGAACTTGTCTGCTGACAAGATTAATTAAGGGGTTAGTTCTGAAGCCCAGTTGAGGTTGAACCTGACACAAACTGTATTACAGCAAATGCAACATGAGGTGACTCTAAAACTGGGTTACTGGTTTTCCTATCATGAACAGTATTGCTTTGTTGCTTTGTTGATTACTCATTGACTGAGACAGTTCGATCAGTGCTTCAGAAAGTTTTTCCCTGGTTACTAGGTATTACCTGAGATAAGAGCTGTATTTGACAGGACAAAGTCTGGAGAGGTGTTTCAGCTTTAACAGGTAAAGCAAAGGTCAGTTGACTGGCTGCTCTCATAGGTATGTGTGTGAGTGTTATTCTGCTAGTCTGTGTGATAACAGTCTAAATGCAACAAGAAAGAAGTAATAGGTAAAGAGATGAAGTGGAATCCAATGTCTTTACTTGCACTTTAGCCAGGAGCCAATCTCGGCGGACACTGGGCAAGAGGCGGGGTCCACCCTGGACAGGTTGCCGGTCTATCACAGGGCTGACATGTAGACAAACTACCACACATATTCACACTCACTCCTAGGGACAATTTAGTCTCCAGTCAACCAGCAAGTCTTTGGACTGTGGAAGGAAGCCGGAGCACCCGGAGAGAACCCATGTAGGCACAGGGAGAACATGCATATTATTATTATTAT